GCCGGGGACTTGGTGTTAAAGCAAATCTTGTCACTAACGATGTCCCTGAGCCGGGGGGGGTGAGCCGCCGCGCAGCCCCCGGAGAGGGAACGTTCTCCTGGAGCGGCTGGAGGCTGCAGGTTGGGCCTGGTGCGGCACAGGGATGGACCTGCCACCGCAGCCCTGAGGGCTGCTGCAGGGCGCAGACCCCGCGCCGGGGAGGGAGGGAGGGAGGGAAGGTCCGTCCCAGCAGCCGTGCCGGGGGGGGCAGTTTGTCCAGTGTCACCACCCGGAGCCCCGCGAGCTGTCCCAGCCAGAGGTGGCCTGTCTGTTTCCAGCCTGTGCTTCTGGTCTGATCCTGCCAGTCTGCGGGAACCGGGGAGCTTTTTGCCTTTTTCTCTTCCCCAGCCCGCGCTCGTGTCACCCAAAGCTGGCGCTGGGGGTTGGCGCAAGGTGGGGACCAGCTGATGGTGAAGCAGGAGGCAGAGCGGTGCTGGGGGGTGGGGGGAAAGGGAGCTCCTCTCCAGCCACCCTGCAGGGACAGGCAGTCCCCTGCACCGCGGGGACGCGGGACGAGAGGTGTCACACCCAGCCAGGGACCGCACCTCTGTCACACGTCTGGCACCACAAAGCCCATGACCTGGGCCAGGCTCAGGCACCAGAAAAGAGCCGAATGCTGCAGCTCCAGGGAGCAGTGAGGAGTTTTAACTCTAAGATCTGCTCAGCACACAATCCGGCTGCGCTTCCGCTGCATTTGCCACCAGGAAAGGGTTCAGTGGGGGGTTCACAGCCCCTCGGAGCTGTGATTCACTCCAGAGCTGCTGGTGGGTTGAGCAGGGACTCGCAGCTCTTGCTGGCCACCCGCAGCCTCGGGCATTTCTCCATCTCGGGGAAAGAGGGATGGAGCTGAGGGGGTGGCTCAGGCGCGTCAGAGACCACCAGCCTGCCCGCCTGCTGCCGCGGCTCCTGCTCGGGCCAGGCTCTCCGAAGCGGGGTTACTTTGAGCAGCCATTTGCTCCTCTCTCCGCACACGAGCACAAGTCACCTCTGTGCGCAGAAACAGGGCTCGCTCTCCAGCTCCATCAGGCTGTGGTGCTCCTTCTCCATCCGACGGGGAAGCTGCTGGTGTGGAGCTACCACTCACCTTCCTGCTGCTCTCCCAACAACCGCCTCATTAAACCAAACAGCCACATCTGAGAGCAAACACTGCAGAGCCCACATCTCCCAGTAACCAAACACCCGGCCCTCCTGGAGCACCACACCTCCGGAGGGAGGGACACCGCATTAATTTGCCTTCTCTCGGGAATAAACTCTTCAGTGTATGGAAACATTCCAGGAATTCAGATGAAAAACAATTCCTAAGAGGTCAATTAAGAGTTTGGATGGATCGCGTGGTATGTGCGGATGCCTAACGAGAGGAAACTTGGCAAAGAGCTTTCTTTGGCTCTGCTTGGCCCTGGGGGGAGCCGAGGGGAGGGCAAGATGTCCAGCACAGAAACCACTTGTCTTGTAAGAAATCACGCAGAGATGAGAACAGCAGAGGCAAAGCAACGGCAGCTCAGGCACAAAGGACGAGCGGTACCTTCCCTGCATCAGTTCATGACGAAAACCAAGCAAGCCCCTGCCAGACCGTGCCATGAGGCAGAGCCCCAGGAATCGCAGAGCTTTCCAGCCTTCCCGGGGTCAGCAGCCTTTGTATCAGAATCACGCATTCGTTTAGATGAAAAACCACGCAATGGCAACACCAGCAAAGCTCTCCCCAGGCCAGCACAGGGAACCCTGGAACAGGAGATATCCACACGCTAAAAATAAACAACTCCCATCCAGAGAACAAAGAAAAATAATCTGTTTTTCCCTCATGCTGGTCTGCAGGGTCAGCTCCGTGCTGCAGCGACAGCGAGAAGCCGCCTGCCCATGGCCCAGGACAGAGCCCTCATGTTCGCCGGATCCAAAGCCCCGACGGCATGAAGCTCCCAGGGCTCACCCCGCGCCCTTTCAACACCAAACCCTCTCGTCCTGTGCCAAGCGGATGTACAACCCCTGCTGCAGCTGCTCTGCACCAAAACCCAGCCCGGGGGCACTTGTGTGACTCCTGGATCCCCCGCAAACGCCGACCCTCGCACGCACAACTGATCCTCCCCGTTACCGCCGTGCTGAGCACTGCAGCTGGCAGAGCAAGACAAGTACCTGCCCCTCGTGCTTAAACAAGAGTCGTCCAGGTCTGAAATCGCAGGCATGATTGGGAGAGGTCACGTAAAGTCAGGAAACCAGAGATCCCATCTCCGCCAGCCCCGCGGAGGGAAGGAGCCGGCGCCCCAGGAGCAGCGTGGCCACAGCCAGCGCCTGGCGAGGCTGCGCCCGACCGCACTCGGACGGGAGACACAGCACGGCAGGAAAAGCTTTCTGGACAACTTGCCTGAACCACTTTCAGCTTCTCAATGAGAGCCTTTGGGAAAGGGAAGGAGATTGAACTTGCCGCCACCAAACTTGTTTTAAAACTTGTGGATAAAAAGTTCGGATTTAGAGCCAGAGAGGAGGGGGGTGGAAGGAGCTCTAGAGAGCAGATTGCTGGCTCCCGTTATGGAAGCAAGCTTAATAAAATTCATAGAAATATTGGTGGTTCTGCTATGCTGTGCCAAGAATGTGTTAGAATAAAACCTTCTGAGCAGAAGGGAGAGATAGGATGTCATCTTAGCCTTGATATGAAAGATCAGCCTTCATCTCCTAAAGCGTATCTCAAGGAACAGCAACTAACACATTTCCTCGCCTTCCCCCCGGCGCCGGGCTCCGCAGAGCCGCGCCTGCACTTCCTCACTGCCACGGCCCTGTACCAACGGACGAGCCACCTCAGAGACGTGATCAGATAAGAGAAGAGAGAGGGAGACATTCTTTCTGACAGACCAGCTCCGTGTCCTCCACGGGAAGCCGCCCCCACCCTGCCCTGAGCCCGCTCCCCTCACCGCCGCCCTCACCCACCAACCACAGCACCAGCACCAGCCCTGGCTTTGCCGCAGCAGCGAACAGAGCGGGGAGCAAAACGGGCCCCCTGGCAGGGAGCTGAGTCAGGAGGGAGCGGATCTCACTTTCCAGTCCTGCTCTCCTTCCCTCGAGCTTGCTCTGCCAGTAACAGGAGGAGGGAGAGGAAAGCTTTCTCAGAGCTTATTTTGGGAACTGAGCAGCCAGGCCCTTGGGACCAGAGCTGGCTCTCGGCATGGCACTGATCCTTTTCCAAGGCTTTCTTTAGTCTCCCGAAACGCCCTTCAAGCCTTGCCCTGAACTCACAGGCTCACAAAGTTAACCACAACTAGGGAAAGCGGAAGGTGTGCGCCTCCCTGTCCCCTTCCCCAGACGCTGATCACACACAGCTTGGCTTTGGCCCTAAGGGTCTGCATGTCCACAGCTGCACCCAAACGTCTCTGCTGTCCCCTAATTAATAATCTGCCTCTTTCCAGCCCTCGCCTTGGTTATTGCCAGTAATCCCAACTGATTGCCAACCTAAAGCCCTAGAAAAGGGGTTCTCTGCCCTTCTCCCTCAGCACTTCCTCAAGGCAGGCAGCAACCCCAGCAGAGCCAGCACCTTTATTCCAAACAGGCCCTGACTGTTCGCCAGCGTGGCCTCTCACATCTCAATAATTTGTTATATCAAATCTGATTTAGCTTAGAAGGTAAAACAAAAACCTGCTCTGCCCGCAGAGGCATCCCCTGTGAGCAGAGCGCCGAGCCGAAGCCCTGGTTTCCCATCACCAGCCCCCCGAGGCCCGTTTGCCGCTGGGAGCTGAGCACACAGACACACACACGGCTCCCGGGCTGTGACGGGCTTTGCCAGGCTGCCCACAGCCACAGAAACTCGGCGTCGCCCTGAGCAGACGAGTCTGTCGAGGCACAGCGACTGCGAGCTGTTACGTGGGAAGGTGCCAGTTTGACCATGACTGTACCAACATGAACAGCTCAAACCTCTTGAAGAGGCTCATCGTTTACTCCGGGCTCTCTCCTTGCAAGCACTGTTGCTGAGTCCCAAAAGCCTCACGAGTGCTCAAACTTTTCCAAGCCCAGCCCCTGCCTTCAGCAGCATTAGTCATTCCGATGCTATTAGCATCCCTCAAAAAACCTGCACGTTCCTACACGGAGCGAGGGGGACAAGCCTGGATCCTCGTTCCCTGAGCACCAGCCACGCTCTGCAGCCAACAGGGGCTGCACACGGGCACCTCGGTTATTGCCACCAAAATTATTTAGTCCCCCAGACGTACAAGGAGGCAGAAGAGAAAATAAGTGTCTGTGTCCTCAGAGAGAAGGAGGACTGCCCAGGCCCTTCAGCAGACTCAAGGTTTTGGGGAGAACACGGAGGCTCCCGGCGTGCACCGAGCAAGTGAGAGTAAAGCAGAGGCTGAGAAATCCCCAGTCCCGGATCTAACGGAGCCACCGACGAGAGGCACAGAGTGACAAGAGGGAGGGACAACTCACCTGCCAGGGGCTGCCCAGAGCAACTTCCCGGGATAACCGTCACCACCACCAGCTGACCCAGCCTGCGCCATGGGGCTGCTCCTGAGACAGAATAAACCTGGGAGAAAAAACAACAGTCAGTGCTTCACAGCCAGGGTCTGGCAGGGCCACAGGAAGGGGTCCCCAGGGGAGAGCAGCGTCACGCATCCCTCCCTGCTTGGAGACCAGGCAGTGCAGAGCCAGCCCCTGGCCCAGGTCTGGGAAAATCAGCCCAGGGAGCACCGAGTCCCTCCGGAAAGCAAGCCACGCTGATGCCCGCTGGGAACAAAGAGGCCACAGCAGGGATGGATGTAGTGAAATATACTATTTTATTGCTGCGCACATGCTTACACATTTCTTCTTAAATATAATGTTGCTCTGATAAATTTTACAGTCTTCTTAATTCAACATGTGGCTAGTAGTAAACAAAAAGGACAGAGGCAACAGAACACAAAAAGGACGCTGGCAACAGAAGAAAAATCAACAAAAGGTTTTTATTTTGTGATAAAAGTATTTGCAGCAAGAATAAAGTGAATTCAAATCTCAGTTTTGACCTGGCTCACCTTGGCTGGAGAGCTTGCCCGCACACTGACCTTGTGGTAGCCCAGTTTCACCAAAAGGGATGGGGGGGGCAAAGGGCCCCGAGTCCCTGGACAATCCGCGGGGCCTCACGGATGTGACCACTGTGACACCGCCGGGCAGCCCCCGTGGCACTGCCTTAGTGGGGAGGCAGAGGGGAAGGCCAGGCCGAGCTTTCCTCCCACGTGTACAGCTGCGGCCTCGCTTGCTCCGCGCTTCAGGACGTGGGAATGGGATTGCTCACGGGCAGCCGTATGGAAAAGGCTTCGCAGCACTGCTGCCCGCTCTGCCGTCCTCCTGCTCTGCCCCTACCGGTGTCCGTTTGTTCAGCAGCCCAGGCCTCTGCAGAGAAAAGCATCAGCACGATCCTCAGTGATCCTGCTTCCGCACCTCGCCGAGCACAAGGGGAAGGCAAAGGCCACGGCCGTCCCCCGGCTCCGCGCGGGGCTGCCACAACCGCTGCTGCCCAGGGACGACGACTGAGGCGTCAGATGAGGAGTTTATGCAGGAGGAGCAGAGAGGATGTGATAGACTGAACGTCCAGCTTGGGGATGTGATAAACTGAACGTCCAGCTTATGCTCAGCGTCATCTTCAACCACACAGGGCGGAGAAACAGGGAACTGAACCAGCTGGGTCCAGCTTTCCGTTTCTGTAGCAGGCTTTCATGAACCTGACGCTCCACTGAGCAAGAAAACAAAGCGGTTCTGCTTTCACCTTCCTTCCTCCAAAATATACGGGACTTCATATTAAAGCTTTCCCAACAGCTCTTCCCCTCCTCGAGTTTACCGAGATGCTTTTGACACTTCCAAGCTGTGCTGGGCTCTCTTTGGTCATCCTGGCGAAGCCACACTGAGCTTAGAGACGGACACAGAGGCACATTCCACCAATCCCACGACAAACACACGTCTCCCCTCCACGTCAGCCCCCCAAACAGGAGCACCCTGCTGCTGCTCCCTGCTCCCACACAGCAGCACACGGCTGCAGGGACACCCCCGGCCTCACCCGCACGCGGCCGCAGGAAGCAAACCACCAGAACTCCTCACGTTTCCTCACAAGCCTTCTGAAGCAGAACTGAAGCCCTGCCTGAGCAGCCCCGCTGCCACCATTCCCTGCCCCACAGACTTGTTCTGCAAGAGACACCAGTGAAACCCAGAGAACAAAGTGCACAAGCACTCGGGGCTCAGTTATGTCAGCGCACCTCACGCCTGCTCCCCCAGCTGTCCCCAGCTTCGGTTAAGCACGACTCAATCTTGATACATGATTCTGCCAAAGTCCAGCTTCTCTCGGGTACCCCAGGGCCCGCTGTCGGTGCAGCCGGACCGAGCCTGCCCGTGTTCCCCCAGAGAGCTTCACCACCCGCGGGGTACAGGCAGATGCTCCGAGCAGGGGCTGCAGTTCCCACGTGGTGTGGGAGCACCAGTCTCACCTCGGGAGATTAGCGAGGGAGAGAAACCCGTCCTCCCAAGTGCAGCCACAGCTGAAGCAAGTCCCTGCCAAACGCTGGATCCCCAGCGTCTTCCCTTACCCAAGGGAAGCATCACCACCATTACAGAACCCACCACCCTGGAGCCGCAGGGGCCCGTGCCCAGCTCCCACCTCAAGCAGTAAGAGCACACCTGATGCGGATTATTTCAAGCTCCTGCCTCGCAGAGCGACCGGAGCGACGATACGTGTTGGGGATAGTGCCCGGGCAAGATCCCGCGTGTGCCTCACACAATGCCCCTGCTCCCTCCCAACTCGCAGCACGGCAGAGCACGCCCGGCCCCTGCCCCGGGAACCCGAGCCTCCCCAGACCTGCCACCCTGCAGACAAACAGCTCCGAGGGCAGCCTGCGGGGCAAGGCAAGCTTTGTGCAGGGGTATCGCCCGCTGATTAGCGCCAAGCAGAAAGAACATCATTACCCTCGTTAGGAGTCTAGGGAGACAACACGAGATAACACGACCTACTGCAGAACACAGACTCAGAAACACTCGTCAGTACAAACAGTGAGTTTCCTGGAGGACACTGAAGCTACAGGGTTCAAGGCTGAGCAAAGCCAGAACGTCGGGTGGGACAGCTGCCCTGCAAGAGACCCAAAAGGCCCCTTTTCCTTCTAAACGATTTCTGGTGACCCCTCCTCCCTGACCCACCAGAGAGTCTGTTTTGCTCTACCACAGTGGACAAAAAGAAAGGGAAAAGTGCTGTTTCCAAGAAGGTGTTTCCTTCCCCTGTCAGGAAAAAAAGGGGTGCTCTCCTTTTTTTTTCATGCATTGAAAGCAACTGCTTTCTAAGAACGGAAAGGCTCTGGTCTCTGCTGCATTCCCAAAGACATTTGTTCAGGAAGCAAAGCTTTTAAACTCTGAGCACTTCAAAGCAATGAAAAGCTAGGGAAGGCCTAGAAACCACTTTGGTTCTTTTCATCTAAACACTAGAACAGCAGGTGAGGACAGTGCCTTCCACACAGCCAAGCACTGCTGTGCCCCTGCTGGGGAAGCACTGCCCACCTCTGCCAATCTTAGCACGCTGGCCCTGAAAGAAAGGCCAACCTCCCTTCCAATATACTTATTTGAAGAGTTTAATCCTGTTTTCTTCCTCTGACTGTGGCAATTCAACAATATCCTGGGATGAACCAGTTTCAGAAGTGTGTTGTGGGGCAACAGAACAGGATGGGTGTCCTAACACCCGGCAAGTCCCCCAGAGCGCTAGCTCCCTGACCACCCCCAGCTGCTGGCAGCCTCCCATCCGCGTTGTATCCTGCAAAGGAGCAGCTACTGATTTGGGCTGAGCTTTGGGAGCTACTTCTGAAAGGAGAAACGAAAAACAAATTAAAACCAAACACAAACCAGACATGCAAATGTCCAGACGTAAATAAATTAAAAAGAAACCATGCCTGAAAGTGATTGGGGAGGACAAAGAAGGGGAAGAGAGACATTCAGAGGCTCAGCTGTTCTTGCGCTCCGAGCCACCCCGGCGGGGCTGCGCAGGCTCATACCACAGGCAGGGTTTGCACATCAGCACTCAAGCCCTATACTGGCCAGGAGGTTTTCCAGAGCTTCAAGTTTCTGGTTGGCTTCCTCGATGGCACTGTAAGTCTGCACGTTGCTGGTGATATGGAAGCGGATGTCGTCGACCAGAGGAATGGAGTCAGTCTCCTGCCGCTCCTCCACAGCCTCCGCGTTCTCCTTCACGGCAGCCACAAACTCCTCCAACTCCACCAGCTGGACGGGGTGGACAAGAGAACCGTTAGGAAGACAAGATGATGGGTGAAGGGATGGAAAGGGTTGGGATAATGGGCTCAGCCACTGTTGAGGGATCTCAGAGAGGAAAAGGGATTGCTAAGGGTACGTGGAGACCCCAACCTTGCTGCCTCCTACACAGCCCCTTTGCAGAGGCATCTGCCACCCCCCCGGGAGGCAGCAACGCCCCAGCAGCCAGCGCCACAGCTGTGAGCAGCCCGCACTCCCAGGAGTGCACTGTGACACCCACTAAGCACCCATGGTTCTGGTATTGGGGCACATGAATACACACAATATTCCCCAGAAGACCCAGCAGATGCTGCCAAACGCTTTTGGGGAAGGTCCTGCCCCAAGCAACAGAGGCTGCTCGTGCCCCGCGCGGAGCCAGCAGCCACAGCCCCTGCCACAGCGCCCAGCCCCACGGCCACGGCCCCTCAGCAGATCACAGCAAGGCAGCTGCTCAGTTCTGGGCCCAGCCTGACAGAATCAGGTCACCCAGGAATGATTTTTGCATCAAGTTCCCTGGGAACATGTGGCGTGCTGAAGGGTGAGAGTCTGCCTACGCCGCTGCAGCGCGCCCGGGCACGGCGGGGTGCTGAGCCCCGCTTTGTGCTGCACTCCCTGCCAAAACCTCTCCCCGTTGCCATCACCGGGGCCTCGCCACAAGACACTGGCAGCTGCTGATGTCTGAGCAGCTGGGGCGGCTCCGTTTGTGCCGAAACCCTTCGGAAGGCACGCTGCCAGCGCTGGGTCCGAGGGCTCCCGCTCAGGGAAGGGGAATGGTGCAGCCTTGCACCATCACTGCTTGGGACATCCACCAGCTTTCCAAGCAAATCCTTTTCAGAAGCCAGAATCTGGGGGCACGCTGATGTGTCTATCATCCCCAAGCTATACACTGAACAAAATAACAGCCCTGGAATAATTTCCTTCGCTATTTTCACATACCAAAAAGAATTTCACACCTTCCAAGCTGCAGGTGAAAATGTTACGCTCCCCTGTGAACTGTAAAAGCCATTTATAAAAACCTCTGTTGCAGGATAAAAACACCCCACAGGTTCTAATTTATCCTTCTGTGTGGCAACTTTCTCCATGAGTCCTGAAACTTATAATCCCTCAGGATAAAACTCAAATGGAGCCTCATAAAGAAAACTTCAGAGCTAGATTCATTACTTCTGGGTGTTCAACAGCCAAATTTCCCTTGTGGAGACCCCTACTGTTAGATTTGTCATCCTGGAGGAGAGTAGAGATCACAGTGATTTTTCTTTTCTATAGCATTATGCCAGGAAGAACTCCCTGCAGCAAACACTGGAAAACATTTCCTGCACAGAGCTCCCCTGCGCACCCCACGGGGCTCTCCAGGCTGTAACTGCACATTCAGGCAACGCCGCTGTCGCTCTGGGCATGGTGGCTGAAAGCTCGGTGAAAGTCACCTGCCCATGGAACTTTTTGGTCAGGTTTTTCACCCCACAGTCCACAGGGATGTGCCAGACAGCCACCAGCACCTGGCTTCCTGCAGTGACACTGCACACGCTCCTCATCCTCCGTCCTAACTCACCACGTGCTTTGCTACCTCATCGCTGCTCCTTTTCAGGAAGCACATTAGAACAGAGGGGGCAAGCACTTGTCACAGACCAAAGCACGAGCATTAACTCTTGTATCTGTGCCTCACTGCGCAGTTCAGGCCTACAGGCACACGTGGCAAGGGCCGTGGGGACCGTGTCTGGTACCTTCTCGATGATCTTCGCCATGTACTCCGTGCACTGGTCCTCCAGCCGGGTCAGCTGGAAGAGCTTTGCGACCCTCCAGATGCTGACGACGTTGTCCTCGTCCAGGATCTGAGCCAGGGTCCTGCCGCAAAGGCGCTTCAGCCCGGGCAGCAGGTACATGTCTGCCACGCACAGCACGTCGTAGGCGTTTTCCGGGGACAGCTGGCAATGGCAAGAGGGGGATTACTGCCCAGTCCCCCCCACTTCACTTGTCTCCGGCAAAGCGCCTTTTTCTCTCGTGCTTTAGCAGATTCCCTAAAGCATGCACCAGGCAGGTGTTAATGGCACTACTGAGACCCGAGCTCAATCTTCCAGGGCTAGGTCTTCCCCGCCGTTACCACAGAGGAGTTTAAAATGCTGCAGAGGCAGCTTGCTCAGCACAAAGCAAGAAGTCTGCCGTGCTGCAGTTAACCTCTCTAGCTAAGCACAAAGCAACACTGAAACACAGAAGTGCACCTGAAAGAGACGTGCAGTGTGGCAGCAGGAGGAGGCAGCTTCTACCAGAGGTACTGAAAGCCCTTCAAACGGAACGGGCTGGCAGAACAGAGCACCCCATCCCCACTAGGACTTTGCCTCCCATTTACGTACCGCTGGACGCGCACTTTGTGGAAAATGTGCAAAATTCTCTTAAGTTCCTTCCTCAAACTGGCTCTGCTAACTCAGCCAGCACAAGCTCCTTGGCACAGGGGTACATCCCAGGACAGAAAATTGCACCCCAAATAAACTGTAGGTGAGGGCCAACTAGGTGAGGAACAGACTCTGCACATCAAATACTACTGGAACTTTTCCAGGCCCTCAAACCAAACTGAATTCATGCACCAGATGCTCAAGCTTACACTGTTGTGAATGGCCTTTAACATTTTCAGGCTCTTGAGCTAGAGAATCACCCTCTCATTTCCCTCTTGGGTACTTTTGTTCCTTGCAAGTGATCTGAGGATAAAAAAAATGCTGTAGATAATGTTGGAGACGCCACCTCCAGCTTCACTCAGTCTCTTCCCCTGGCTGGGCAAATCCTATTTCAGTCAGCCATCTGCGTCACTAACCTGGAGCTAGAGCCTCTCTCTGCACAGTTCTGTTCCTGCTAACGCGAAGTGCAAAGAGCACAGTTACCCACATTCATTTTAACAGCAGATCTGCAGGATGCAGCACACCCTGGCTGTGGAGGAGGCGAGACCCCCTGCAGACAGAGACCAAGCCACACGGGTCTAGACTGAGGAATGGTAACTCTGGTGCAGCACAGTCCACTGCCCTGGTAACTGGGCAGCAGCAAAACAAGTGCTGTCCACATCTGCACAGGTCGTTGCTCACTCTCACAACTGAAAAGGGCTGATTCTTCCTTCCCCCACAGCTGTCCACACCAGTGTTTGGAGGGACTGCTCCCAGCGCCTCTCCCAGCTGTGTGACACCCTGCAGCAGCTGTGCAGAAGGATGCATCAGAGGCGTGTCGTGGGTGCTGTACTGCCACAGGGTGTAACAAAGCTCTCGGGGCTGTTAATCAAGTGCTGCTTTGTCCTTTCGTAAGCTGCAGGAACCTCACGAGTTGGAGGCGTTTGAGCCAGTAGTACTGATGGCAGCAGCTCCCAACTGCTTGATGGAGCACAAACCTGGCAAATGTTCCTCCAAAAGCTTCCCCTGAGCCCACACAAGTGTTCTGATCAGCTACTTCTCTCTCTGCCTGGAACCCCGTCTGTCCTCTGCACACACTCTTCCTTCCAGCTGCAAGCACTGTCACTACTACATGGCAGAGACAGAGAAATCCTCTGGAAAAAGAAATGTGGAATTGGGAGTGCTGACCCTTGGCTAGGGAAACCCAGGGCAAGGAGAACGCTGCACGTAAGTGTGGAACTTGAGCTATATTCCCATTTTCCTGACCATTTTCCCTGGTAGTTTTTCACGGCAGGTAAACTCTCTGCAGAAGCTCGTGTCTTGGCTGCCCAGCTTGAAATCCAAGCCAGTTTCTGGGGCAGCACCATTCTGCCTAGAAAACACACGAGCGAGATCCTTGCAACTCCTCCGCTTTGCTGTTGGGCTGTCCTCCTGCCCCAAGCCCAGCCGGGGCAGCCTTGTGCTGGGGAAACACGTCTCGAGGAGGGCAAGGCAGAGCAGAGGAGTGTGAGGGACCAGGGTCACGCTGCAGCACAGTCACAAGGTTGGGAGGATCTTCACAACCCCAACATGCTGCCTTCCCCCTGCCTGCCCTTTCAGCACGGAGCTGAGGGACAAATGAAGCATCTGCTCTCTGGCATACCGGTGGCAGTCCTGCCCGTGCTGCCTGCTAAATACATCCCTCCCCACCGCACGTTCCCTGCCGCTACCCGGAGGCGAAGGGAGCAGCAGAAACAAGGTCCAGCTGCAGCTGCTCTCCGCACGTGGCACCCAACCCAGGGCACAAACACCGCTCGGGAGAAGTGACACTGCCAGGTGCAGCAGCGTCCCTCATCGCTGCCCGAATGCCAGAACCCGTTCTGGCATCTTGTAGCTGGAGCTGCTGAAAGCGTCTGACACAAAACCAAAGCAGGAACCTGCTTAAACACTGAGATTTGCTGCGCCTTCCGTGAGGCTGAAAGCTAGGTGGGGTGGGGCCACTGTTACTGCTTGTGACACTGAGCACAGCAAGGTGTTGGTCTCCCAGTGGAACCTCTGCACACCCCAGCAACAAATAACAGCGGATATAATGACTTGCTACAAGTGGAACGGTGGGCTGTGATGCCAAGAGTAAATCAGCAGAATCTCTCAACCTTTCCACATCCCCAAATGTGTTCAATCTGCCATCTACTGGCAGCTGCTCACCTTATCCTTCCACAGAGCCCAAGAGGGAAATCTGCATTTATCATGCCAACATACAGCGTGCAACCTAATTTTCAGATTTTCGTTATGGGATAACAGACTAAGGATTTGCTTCCCAAACATCACCCACAGAAACCAGACCCCTGCCTGGCTCACAGCGAGTCCCAGGACGTGGGTCCCTGAGACAGCAGAGTAGGGCAGTTGGATTGAAGAAACTAAACACCACTGCCCCTCGGGATGCTGTAGGCAAACACTTCCAGAACGAGCCAGCCCAGGAGGAGAGGCTCTGTGGGTGGCCTCACCTCTGTGTCATCACTGTAGATGTAGTAGAGGACTCGGATGAAGATATCTTCTGAGATGTTGTGAAGAGTCACCACAGGGATGCTGGGCTGTGTCTGTAACTCCTCACTCTCACTGAAATGGTCTTCAAGAAGGGCTTTGAAATAATCACTGCGACCACAGAAAAATGCCTGGAGAGGGAATAAAGACCAAGAGACTAGAATCCTTCTCGCTGCATCAGACCGAGCAGCACTACCCACCGGCTGTCAGAGCAGCTCAAAGATGTTTCAGAAGTTCAGACTCTAACTCTGATCCTCCCTGTATTTTGAAGCTGCATCTCCAACATTTTTCCATACCTTGTTTCTACCCATGCCTAACCCCAGAACCAAAAAAACAATCTGTAAGCTTCAGAGATCCAGAAGGAGCACGGCATTAGGGCAGGAGTTTGAATCCATTCTTACTGTTCACTTCCAGATCAACCATTCCCCTCTCCAGACACTGAACGCACAAGCTAGGAGATTCTGCAGCTGTGAATGCTGTAGCTAAATCCATAAATTTATCTCCTCACCTCTGCAAGAAAGACAGGGCTTGCTGTTTTGTTAAATGCTTTAAATATAGTTTCCAGTTGCAATACGACCTGGGGTTTTCCAGCTGATGAGGCAGTGCTGCTTCTGCAGAGTGCATTCAGCACTGGATGAGCAGGGAAGACAGGTAGACCAGACTTATGGCAAAAAGGGAGGAGAATGAAGTATAGAGCGCATGCACGTACCTTATGGCACAAAAAGTTGTACTCTGCCACCCTGAAACACACGTCGGGACAACTGTTGAAGTTGTCGGTGCTGTCAAACGGCAACTCCCCAAAACCAACCTAGAAAAGGAAACCAGAAGACCTGACCTTTAACATTCCTGCTTTAAACATGCTCAGGGTCCCAACTTTGGACTTCTTGGTCTTCCCAGAAGCAACCATCCATTCCTTCAGCACAGTGCAGAGCACCGGATTTCAGGGAACACAGATTTCAACGTGAGGAACTGAAGTCCTTGCACTCTTGATAGAGACACTCCTGGTGCAAGTTACAGCGGCCTCCCTTACCCATGGAAACTCCCCACCCCTCCAAAAAGCTCTGGGAAGCATTTCTGTGCCACCTCACAAGGCACACGACCAAGTGAAGGTGAAGTTTACTTCACGTAGTGGATATTATAAGCATACCAGAGCTCAGGACTAGCCCTTTACTGTGCAGATGTACAGGTAGATGTAGGAACGTATAGATTACATAGAAGTATATGCCAGTTTAAAATAGTTTGGCTACAATTACTGCCTCACTTGAATAATTCAAGATTTCTAAAGCACATTTTAAATTTATGATTTGATTTGCAGCCAAAGATAGTGTTGTTGCAGTATTAATACTCTAGTGAATTATTTTAACACCAACACACCTCCTCCCAGTCCCGCATGCCAACAAAGACAGCACACACAGAGAGGAAAAAAAAAATAAAATCTGTTGGCCTTATGTTCTTTTAAAGTGACACTTCCAAAGATTTTTACTTTCACCTTATCCTATATACAGGGTAATTTGAGTGTATTAAAAAAAGAGAAAAGTTTATATTCACAGTCACGCAGCCAAGACAACTAATCTCTGGAAACAGAAGTTCCCCCCGATTCTTGCTTTCCAAACATGTCCCTGAGCTGCCTGGGCCCAGGAGTTTATTACCACTGTCTCTCACCCAGGAAGGTTTCACCCCAAGCTGGCACCCGGGAGAAGCCTGGGCTGGCGGGGAGGATCACTCTCCCAGAGGCAGACTACCTCAGCACCTCACTGAAAGCGCTGACTGCCAGCTTTGCTGAGGAGCCAGCCGAGCCCTCCCTCCCACCTAACCCAGACCGACCCGGCCGCATCACCCCGGCCTGAGCTCTCAGCCCAGCGCAGCTCCAGCGCAGGGAGGTTTCTCTCTCCAGAGGGGTTCTAGGACGTGGCAGGGCACCCAGCTGGCCAAAGCTCACCCCACCACTGAGCGCGGCAACACGGACCCATCTGAGATCAGTCCAACGCCCAATTTTAGTTTTAATCCGGACTCATCTGCCAAGGTCTTTGTCTGTCCTCAGCAACATCTGGCCGTCCGTGGCTCCTAATCGCAGCAGAGTAAACCCTGTGACATCCAGAGCCTGCACATGGCTCTGGCAGCAATGCTGCCTCTCCACTAACACCTCTCTCCTGTGCGTCCTTCCCCATCGGGGAACTTCTCTCCCAGAAGAGATGCAGCAATTCAAGGAACACCCCCCCCTGTAACACAAAGGGCACCTCCAGCACTGAGGATGAGATCACACTGTCCCATCTGTAGACTCCCCAGGCTGCTATTTTGCCGTTACCTGTGTTTCACGTTTCAAGGCACAGCTTCCATGTACCCCTAGAAATTCTGACATGACTTTCTGGGCTACAGCTTTGCAGCACATTATAGGTAAAACAAACAGGCTTTGTTAAGATGCCACTCGTTGCAGCACAAGAATTTTAATTGACATATAAACTCCGCATCTTCTACGTGCATCCCTTCTTTGCTCCCCTTTCATCGTTCAAAGGTAAATCTTTAAAAGGAATCCAACCCTCTGGAACAAACATGGGAGTTTTATTTGTCTCCGAGTCTGTCTCCTGAATTACAAACTCCTCCCGGCTCAGTTTCCCGCTTCTGGCCTTGCCTGGTCCCTGCTCTGATGCTCAGGTTTACAAGGTCATTTCCAATCCCTACTACAAAAGCAGGTTGATGTTTTTGTGAAGTGGCTTTGCAGAATTTTCCCTTTTACTTCATTTTTAAGTCTCTACTACTTCTACCCCCCTCTCTTCTAACTCTTGAGGAATTTAATCTCCCTTTCAGGGTCTCCCTGCAGCAAACTGGCTTGTTCCTCCCACCGCCCCCGCTCAGGAAACCTGCTCAGCATACCTCTGTCCAGGCAAAGCACAGCTGCCGAAGTTCAGCATGCTGCCCGGAAAGCACAAAACAGTCTGGCCTGCGAGGTGCAAACACATTCACAATCACTCATCCACCATACGGAAACATTCTCAACACCTCCATAGCATAAAACCGCTTTAACGTTCACGGAATCCTCCAGTCATCACCCACCACAACACGTGGAAGAGCACGTCTTTGCTGCTGTGAACGTGCTGTTAGCGCCGAAAGAGAAATGCTGCTGGAGACAAAACCGTACAAAACAAATCAGTGGCAGCAATTCCTACCTTGGCTGGATTATCTCAGCAAGAAAACTGTGAGCAAATTACAACACAAAATACAGGGGTTAGCGATCCAAGGAAAGATTACCAGCCCATAACCAGATGCAAGTGAATCGGATAAAAAAAAAAAACAAAAAAAAAAGATTGGAATCATGATTTAAATAGTTCAGTTGATCTGCCTCTGCCAAATGGGCAAAGCCCAGGAATAGCTGCCACGGACAACCCCACTACACAGATGTGGAGGCAAGACTAGATGGAACCCATCGACTTGTTTCAAACTGTTCTTTCTACATTTTGTAAGATTTAGTTTTACCCCAAAAGTGACAAATGGTCCCATTTTTTTGCAGCCACACCAAATGTTAATACAGATGAACAGAGCAGTATTTATTTCACAGCAAACTCTGGTCCTTTTAAGTCTGATTTCATCTTAGTGTGGAAAATAAGAGTTCAGTTAAAGGTAATGAAAAATAGCTATAAGGAAATGATACGCCTGCAGTCTCGAGCACTGGAAAGCCTGGAGTCTCCAACTCCGATGCCACCTGGCAGACAGGAGATGAAGAGCCAGGCAGAGTGGAAAGCCACATGGTTTGTGACAGTTGCCTGGTTTTTGATGGTATTTTACTTAAATCTGTCACTGCTAAATTTATTGCAACAAACCAAAGCAGCAGCTGTTGTGGTCAGAAAAATTCTGGTCATTACTAGTGTAAAACAAAATTGAGACAACAACCACACTTTTAAAAACAAACACTGAAAGAGAAAAGGCTTTCAGGTATAAACAGGAATGAGACACAAGGTACCAAGATTATAAACATGCTGAAGAGTTCAAAGAACAGATAGTCCTCACTCCGAAAACTAACGATGAACTGTGATTGGATATCAAACGTTAATTATTGGTTTAGTCGTACAGCAGAGTCTTCTGCATCATTCAAGTATCAGAGACATTACATGCAAATTATTCGTTTATAGTGTAACAGAAAATTGTATACAACCCCATGTCACATAACATGGCATTACATGGCATGAGCAGCTCAGAACGTCTCTCACCAAACTCTGGAAACGCTGGCTTTTATCCAGAAGCCAAATACCTATTTTGTTCTGCTGGAAAAAAATGTATGTTTCTCTCGAGAACACAGATGTCTGTCCGTGACTGTTCGGTTGTCCCTGACATTTTAGGTTACGTAGTTTGTTCCTTGCACGGCATCAAACCCTGTCAGAACGAGGATGTGCAATTCCTCTGTCCCAGAACAAAGATGCCTAATTCACAGAATTTAACAATTTGCAAACATTAGGATGAGATATAAATGGCAACAGGATGAAGAGCTGTGTTCATACACTCTTTGTAAGTCAACAAAAAAGACCTAGAGAGAGAAAAATGGGAATCTCTTTGAATTTATCAGGCTTAAACAAAGCAGCCACGTTTGTGCATGGCGCACACGTTCTCTGGTGACCAGGCGTGTGACCGTGCCCTCTCCACCCTTACAGCCACAACAGCTCCAGCGCTGCTGTAACTGCCTTCGTTCTGATCTATGAACACAGCAAGGGAGCCCCAGCTCGCAGAGGCGTTCACAGTGCTGTCAGATGATTATATTATTCCAAGTTTCGTATTTTCCTTCCAGCTCCTGTTCTGCACGAAAGAATTAAAAGGGAAGTGTTCCTAACCCTGGAAAAGCCTAACGCGACAGGAACATGCCATCAAGGTCTGGGAACAAGCAATCAAACTGAAAGCATTCTTTTTATTTGGGAAGTAACTTAAAATTTATATAAATCTCTCCACTTTGGGGCCCACAATCCTTTTTTTAATTATTTGGGAAGTAAATTTGAGGCTTACTTACAGTATCACCTCCCTTTAAAGCCTGCAAACATACAGAAAAGCATACTGAAAGCCACAAATAAATGTACGGTTATTATATTTGCAGGAGGCAGGTTATGTAGGAAAGATTTCTGCATTGGTAGATGGAAACATGATGGAGAATAACTCCTCTATAAAGTGCTTGGTACTCAGAGAGCTATGTCTGCCAAAAGCCAGCACAAACCATGTGGTTTGCTACAGGTAAGAAACCTGATCCATGTGCACACACACACACACACACACACACACACACACACAGAGGTCTATTCAGCAAGGGACAAAAAGCAAAAAAGCAATAAACTTTGCTCCATCCCTCAGTCATACAACCTCCGGGCACAGCAGTCACCTAAATGGAGTTCATGTTATTAAATTCAGTGATTGGTATGAGAAAGAGTTAAAAAAGGACAGATGTAACAGCAAAGCGAATCTGCTGATATTACAGAAAACAACAGATGCCAGGAGAATGAAGACCACTAACATTTATCCTGCTCTCCTGCAGCTGGGAGCAAAGATCCAGATATATGAGCCTAACCAATAATACTGATGGTATTTTAACACAGCAATCACCAGCCTGCGGCCTGTGGGCTACTTCTAAAGGTCAACAAGACGTAGTTATGAAAAGCAAATCTATTGCCAGTCAAGTTAATTTGCTTCAGAGGGATTCACATTTCTGCTGGAAGTATTTTCAGGGTTTGAGAGCACCCCCCCACTGCAGGGTGTCAGTTCCTAGTAAGCTAGCCCAGCTAGCCATCTGCCACCTACGTGTCCCTTCGGGGATCAATGCCTGCTGATAAAACACTGCTGATACTCAAGAAGGATGGCAGAGAAAAGGAAAAAGAGCTGGGGCCCAACTCCTGTGCCACTGTAGTCAGCGGGGAAATCCCCATCAATACCACGGCAAGGGTTTTGTTTACCAAAACCTGCTAGGGGAAAAAAAAAATCCAAGGGAAGGACCAGCACTGACAGCCTCGTTAAACAGCTTCACAGCATTCTGAAGCAGTAAAAGGCTTTCAGCGTTTGGAGCAGCAGCAGCACACAAGCAAGCACTAAACTCAAAGGGAGAGAATGCGGCCGAACACGGGTGAACGCACAGCACAGCCCCCGGAGAGCAGAAGTAGCGTAAAGGCTCCGTACCCGCAGTTCGGCTGGCAGGGCGCAGTCTGCTAGGAGAGCCAGATCTTCCTGCAGCCGGCAGTTACCTGTGGGCTCAATCGTCAGCACTTTCACACAGGTCCCTGGCTTGGAAGAGACTGGAAGAAGCAAAAAAGACAAAAGAGCAGAGATGCCTAAATTCCTCTACAAACATTCTCTCCCATTTAGAGACAAGAAAGACACTCCGGGAACAAACAGTATTATTGCTGTTTGGCTTCTACTGCACAGCCCCCGTGATGCTCCTGTGTACACACAGCCCTCGGTGCAGCTGGTGAGCAGGGCTGGGAGGGGAGGCTTGCACCTCCTCAAACCTCCCCTTAAGGCCTTCTGCTGGCATGCCAACTGTGGCAAACACAAAGCTGTCACAGCCCGAGTCTCCCTGCACAACCCTTGTCAGCAGGTACAGCTGAGGACTGTCCATCAGGCCGCCCTGGGCCCTGCAGGGGCCACTCGGACAAGGTCTTCCCAGCTGGCCACCCCTACCACAGACAGTGTTACCTAAGGTAAAGCCCATGCCAGGGAGTACTGAGCTGAAATAAAGCTGCTCCTGTGCCTCTCTGCTCCGTCACGTGCTCTCGTGGGTCCCATTTCGTCTGTGCCACCCTAACTTCACTCCAGGGAACAAAGGGATTTATTCTTGTTTAGGTATCAAGTCCTGTGCACCTAGTCTGTCCCCTACTCTCCCTGTAGATCCTCAAAGCACAAAAAACCCCCAAACACCTGGACTGCCGAGCATGCCCGTGTTCTCTGCAAACATTAAATAAGCATCACTACCACCAGAGATCAAATAAACCATGCAGAGATGGCAACTTCATTTGCCTTTTTCAGACCTAGTGTGTCTGCCTGCCTTGCCCTACCAGCCTTTCCTCTTTCTGGCTACCTCACGCCTCGAGTTTGGTTTCAGCTCAGCAGGCTCTGCGGTGAGGACTGGAGCACGCAGGACATTCAGGAGTCACGGGCATACAGGGAAGCACGTGAGAAAACACGGGAGCACCACTGGAAAATGGGAAAGTTGTGGTGAGGAAGGCTCGAGATGCTGTTGGGAGCCAGAGAGATGCAGACTTAACTCTCAAGGACAAAAGAGTTAAGCGGCCCCACGCCAACACACTCAGAAGTTTCTGACAGGCGTGATTCACTGCACGCAAACCCCTCACAGGTGAATCACACCACCTTGAGAGCTCGTTCTTCCTGACGTTTTGCACAGCATCACACGAGCTCCGGCAGATGACTCCATCGGGCCGTGGGCGAAACAAGACCATGAAGTGCCACAAAACAAGTTCTCCACCCCCTCCTCCAGGTTACACCTTCAGCTGTGCCACCACCGTACCTCAAACCGGCCGAATACCCCACAAGGGTACAGGAAAGGGAAGGATCATCCACCAGTACAAGACAGTCAGGTGGCACCGCTGCTGCACACAGACACACCAGGAAGCAGCCAGGCTGCTCTGTTAGCACTGCACTACCTGCAGACAGATGACTTTCAGGGTAAATAAGCCAAGAAGAGCCCTGTCTGCTTACAGACCAGCACGAGGGAAGGAAATTTCTCACTGTGCAATTAGAAACTCTTTATGGCAGAGAGAATAATTGATATTTGTGTAGTGCCTATTGTAACAGTCGCCAAATCAGTCAGGCTCTGTAATCACTAATGGACCCAGCAAGTTCTAAGCAGTAGTCGAGGGAAAGAGTTCTTCTCTTGGGACCTACAAAGCATCTGTGCACTTTCACAGCAACGTGAAAGAACAGTGATTTGTCTGAGAAGCAAATCTATCGTGAGACATTTCAAACGCTGCATCTCTCAAATCCAAGAGCGCAGTGTTTGGTACCACAAGCAGCTCTCCTCTAACAGAAACAAAGTGACAGAACAGGAATAAGCTGCGGGTGCAAACAATCAGCAGGGACCATCACCTTCCTGCAGGACGTAGGAATTAAGGGTTTTCTGGAAAGAACAACATAAACAGTGCAAGGAGCTCGAGGGAGTAACCCAGCTACAGTTGAGAATGGAGGATTTTGTCTTTCTTCCCAGTCTAGCCCAGCTCTGTAGCACTGAACGTCACCTACCAGTTCACCAGCTGCCTTTGTTTTACCGCTCAACACCTCTTTGTAGCCTTTTGTTTCAAATGAGCCAATGCACCACAAAAAAAAAGAGCCACAAAAACCCCCACCAAAATCTCAAACCTTTCCACAATGACGCCACACTCAGATACCTGCCTTACACACCCTCCTGGCAGTGCCCTGAGTAGTTACAACCACAGATTCTGTACGTTCAGCGCCTCCCGTCTGAAGGCAAGCATCACAAACCTGGCTCTCAACCTTTTTGCACTAAAACATGTAGAAATAACTGCAGAACACTTAATATCAAATACCTTCACTTCTAAAGGAAGGATTTTGGCTTAATCTGGACAAACCCTGTCTGAGGTCTTCCAAACACTGCAACTTTTTTTTCTTGTTACAGCCACAATAGACACGTGGGGGAAAATTTGAAAGCATTCACACTGAAGTCTCTCAGGTGCAGCAGAAGACACTGGGTCATCCTCTTCAGGGTTTTCCTAAACTACTGTCTGTGCATGCCAAGACACTAAGTGCTTCTGAAATGCTGATTAACTCTAGATAATGAGATTGCAGAGACTGCAATTATCCACTGGAGCTACACGGGCTTGAGTTCATGTTGTTTTATTAGGCACGTTTCAACTTTATTAATACAGCGGCAAGACGTGAGCCTGCTCTGCCAACCTGAATCAGATGTCTGTTCCACAGAAAGCACTCTGAGCAAGCAGGACTTCAGAGAAGGAACAGTGATGCTTTGTCAAGTGCCAGACATGATGTGACCTAAGATCTTTCACAATTTTTATAATTTTTCTAAGTATTACTTTCTGGAGAATCAAGTTTTCCTGGCTTCCACATGAAAGCTGATACGAGAAACAAACTGTTAACAGACCTATCAGCAGTTCTGTCTATTCATTTAAATCCAACCTGTCATAAATAAAAACTCAAGCCTAGTACTTCCACCCGTGCTTTACACCACCCATTGATTGTGCCTTCTGTCAGGCCTTAGAAATGAACAACTGTTCCCTCTCAAAGAACACAGAAATTAAATAATTTGTCCGGTGCCATCCAGGAAGCCTGTATTACATTTTCCAAGTGGAGTTTGTATCTGGAACTCCCAACTAACCTGAAAAGTTACTTCCCCATTTTTAAACCCCACCAAGAAGTCAGCTCCTCTGCAGTCACAAATTTAACCACTGGACTTCACGATCCTTAAGTTGCCATGACACACTACGTAATGGCTTCAGACACCCAGCAAGCTATCCGCCTTATTTTCCTCCCACAGTACTACAGGAGATTTTAACTTGATGGATTAAGGTGGAATGGTCACCCCCAGGGTCTCAGCTAGACCCCCGGAGAAAAAGATAAAAAGGAAAAAAACGGGAAAAAAGGATCTCCAGCATCTCACTGGATTACTCTGATATCAAAAGATGCCACAAGATAATCTTGTTACCCGATTGTGTGAGTAGTTTTTATTTTCTATTCATTGTATTCACCACCACTCCCCTTTTTCCACCACTTACTTAATACACAAATTGGTATCTTAACACTACTTGTAGCAAGGAACCAAGAAATGCATTTCTAATCTCCTCAGGTGCATGTTTACATTTGTATTTACACGGCGGGGGTAAGATGGACGATACAGCTTCCGTAAGAACCTGCACACTGGTCTATGTGGGGACAGTCCGTGGTAACCCTGCACCCCGCCACCCGACTGCACGTGCCTAAGGGAGACTTACACATGGTAGTATCTTCCATGTGACTTCCACATGAGTACTGGCTCTTATCCGTTAAGCCCTGCAACTTCAGGCTGAATAGTCAGAACTCATACTTCAACAGGGAAAGGTGGAACAGCTACTACACCCTTACTTCTTAGATCAAGGAAGAAGATGCTGTTGATTTAAAAACTACAGACCAGATTCTCTTCTCAAACCAATGCTAACTTGGCTGAAGTAAAGGAGTTAACTCAGAGCATGATATGAGAAATCAGATGTTTTCAGCCTGAAGGTTTTTTTACCAGGTATTTTTTTTACTTAATGACTAACAGCACTTTGCCCTACTTGTGCTGTTTTGATTCTTCTTCATGTGTCCTTTAGCTTGAACGAAGGAGATGAATGATAAATCTCCAACTGTTGGTTTTCATGCAATAAGCTGATGTCATGATGAGATCACAAGCTCTCTGGATAACAAAAAGCCCTTAAATAGAGGATTGTGTCATTTAAGCTTTGGCACATATATGTGTTATAAATACACACACGCTTTCAGAAATACTTCTCTGCTTTTAAAAAAAGCCTTGTATCTCACTCTGCAGCCATTTTGAGCCAATTGTCAAACATTTGAGTTTGGTTAGGGGTCAGATGAACGCAGATAAGGACTTTTAATTGTACATATTTTATCTCCCCAGAGATTTGAACGAGCTCTCTGCTGAAAGGCAGTTACCAGTACACCCCACAGTGCTCCACTGAATGTCTGGCAACCACAGCGAAGTCCTGCTGCCATGGCTGCTCTACTATAATGAAAACATTCAGTGTAAATGATAAACGTGCATGTGTCAGAAACCACTACAGCTGCCCTACAGAGAGCCCCTGACATGCAAACATGGGAATTCCACAACAGAATCATTTTCTGGAAGCACCCAGGGCCCCGTGAAACAGGCATTGTCACACTTTCCTCTTTCCCCCTGAAAGGACACACAGGCACAGCAGAGCCAACAGCGAGCAAAATGCTTACCAAATTCATAGACTTTTTTACATTTGGTCTCCAAATCATCTATGAGGTCCTGCAGCCGACACTGCTTGGCCAACCTCTTGCAATCATTTACATATTCTACGTCGATATCGAGACGACCTGCCAAGAAGAAATGCAGCCAGCTCGTTTAACCCGTACCACTTAGGTGTAAACATGGCAACAATTAAGGACAGAAGTCCTGATGGCACAGAAATTCAGTAATTGGACACACTGCTTCACTTTTCAGCATCCAGTTACAACTCAGTCTAAGCAGCTAAGACTTGGTACCCCACCACCCACGACCTCGAGGAATCTCAGTTCAGCATGTAATTCACATTCTCACTTCCCAGCATCTACCCTAACAGCTCATTCGAGAGGCCAAACACCAAACAGGCTTATGCAAGAGATGTCCAATTCCCTCAGAAAAGAAAAAATAGCAGCACAACAGCAGCATGCATGACTGCCACCACTGGCTACCTGGCTCTGGGTAAGAAAAGACTTTATGCTCACAAGCTGTCAGTCCAGACTCTGTTACCATCACTGAAAACATTTCTGAAAACATGGGACTGGAGAAGAGCCTTGAAGATAAGGTTATTTTCTGGCACCACCTCCTGGCCTGAAATAGTTCAGCACTTAGCATGGCTACAATACAACATTTGGCATTTTCACAGATGGTTTAGGATCAACTTCTGTTCAGAAAAAAATATTAGGAAGTAGTCAAAGCATTCAGCACACACTGCTCGGGTCTGACGGACCGAGAACGCCCTAGGTGGGAACCTGGCTGCTCACCACCTCAGGGGATGTTTTCCCAGACAACAGATTTACCTTCCTTAAGTTAAAAATATGTTCTCCACATCCATCCAATCAACCTAAGCTGATTTTTTTTTTTTTAATTGACTGTAGTTATTGGCAGGACAACAACTGGCAAAAGGTACAAACAGCTTGGAAGAGCTGGGGATTGCTCACATTCTCCCCTTCTGCCAGCAGAGGGGATGTGCTGGCAAGTCCTGTACCCAAACCCGGCTGCCAGTGAGCCTGTGCCACCCAAAGAGCACCAGGGCAGAGGCACAGCCCGCTGCCTGCCCGCCCCGGATACACACACCGGACAGGAAATCATTTACCTGTGTACAAATACTGCAGAAGAGAGCCAAAGGCTGCTGGATTAATCTGAAACAAAACATGAGAAAGTTATCTTTAGATTTCCCAGAAACTGAGTAACAAGCTTGAAACTTGCCTGGATACAAACACGATCCTGAAGAAGTCAGAAAACCCCCATAAAAACAGCAACTCACACACTGCACCCGATCTCCCCGCTCCTCACATAACTAATGCTGCCACTCCACCCGGCTTACACAGCTCTTTACATGCACCCACTGACTCTAAACCACGTGCCTGTGGGGTCAGGACCTGACTAACGGTCCAAAGACAGGGTTGTGATACAAGCTCTGTAAAATCCAGCCATTTGCTGGTCACAGCCATTTCCAACTCTTCTTGACTTGAGAGGAAAGACATGTTCTTGTACAAAGAAGACATTAAGCAGTGTCCTGAGAAACTGGAAGTATGTTCGTCACGAGAGGTTTTGCACAGCCACAATCAAGCTATAGAAACGTACGCCAGAGCACTGGTGATTAAGGGATGCACTTATGGCCTGTTACAGTTCCTGCTGCAAAGGCAACAAAAGGGACTCCATTAGTGCCCATTATGGGGGTGATGTCTTCACCACAGACCACCTCTCCACCAGGAATGAGACAGACCCAACTCCTCCCGCAGAGGAGTCCTGACGCAGCTGGCAGATGGTAACAGCTACCTGCTACTGCAATTTATTTAAGATGTGGTTGAGCCCCTGACAGAGCGAACAAAGGGGAAGCATGCAGCTTTTGTTACCTGAGTAAGATGCTATTTTGCGGCATAAAGTGCCTCCACAAGCCCCTCTCCTTGACTAGGGTCACCCTGAGCTCCAGGAGCTGTTCACTGTGGAAGTTAACCCTCAAACTGCCCTTCCTACACCATTTTCTCACCCAGCTGAAACAGAAAGGAAAGAGCTGGAAGCACAGCCTCGCTCACCAGCGGATGCTTCAGCACTATCATGTTCTTCCCCTTCCATTTGGTCTCAAACATTTCTGCAAAGTAGGCGCTGCGAGCGCTGAGAATGCAGCGGTGGGCACAGAAGGATTTGCCGTGAACAATGAAAACAATGTCGCTTTGGTACCCCTGCTCCAGCAACCTGTAAGGAACAAAGAGAGGGAAAATTCAACGCTGAATGAGAAAGGAGAGAATGGAGTAAAGCCAATGGGGGACACGGTACATTTAGGTCGAACTGAACAAATACCTCTGGACATTGCAGTCTCTCCCTGCCCAGTTAGGCGGCCGGCACAGGGACTGGTACGTCACATACTAGACTGGGATCTCTCTCTCCCTCCAGTGACTCAAAGTTAAGTTTCACTAGTGTAAGAGGAAGGCTGGAGAATGAAACCTCTCTGCCTCAGGAGAACCCGTGAACACAGGGAACAGATTCTAAAGAGGAACTAGTTGCCCCCAAACACATCTCTAAAGGTTAATCCTCTTTTAAATTGTTCGATGGCAAAAAGCCACGCAGAAGCACACACACCTTCAAAAAGAATTACACCACTACAAAGTAAGGTGCAACTTTCCTGCTCTCTGGACACTGCTGGTGTGCACGCTTTAACTGCGCAGCAAACAGGAGAGGACTTGATGTCACCCACCCTCAGAAGAAGGAAGGATGTCACAGGCATGAAACGCAGACAATTACCACATCAGAGATGAAACCTTGTTTGTGACTGCATGCCCATACCCTTATTCTTTAAAAGGGAAAAAAAAAAAAAAAAAAAAGACTGCTACTTGCAGAGTTCACAGCAACATTACCAGTGTTTCCTAACGCCCAGCACCCCTGGCATAGATATCCTGCCAAACATCCCCAAGTGGTCACACCGGGCAGACATCAGGCATCACACTCCTCCTGGAGAGAGGACTGGTGCCCGAAAGGTGTGTGGTCACACAAGGAGAGGATGTCAGAGCATGTCTCGAACGCTGATCTCAATCTCCTGCCACTAGCAGCACATCCTTCCTATTAGTGTCTTGCCCAAAACAAAATAGAAGCAGTTAGGTGCTCATTTTTTGCCCCCCTACTGTTGCCCTTTGTTTCAATTTTAATGAAAGGTCTGTTTGGAACGAGAAGCAGAAAACAGGACATTTTAGTTTTCATGTGCACTCGACCCTGCATCATCTGAGCCACAAACTCACCAGGGAAGTGATAAATCACCCTGCAAAATTCTACTTCCCTGAAAGGCAGAATCTGATTTTACTCAGATAAATGAGTTTCCTTCCTCCCCTTTCCCCACAGCTGCAGAAATTAGGACTCTGTAGTAATGGGAAGATTGTCAGATCTTTCTAGGATTTATTTGCTCTCCAATTTTGAAGATACAGACGCTGAAATCTTGTTGGTTTTGGGGGTTTTTTTTAAGTCAGTCCAATGGGAGGAAAAACAAACAAACAAGCAAGTCTGTGTAATATCATCAGAACTACCAGGGTAGAAAAATAGCAAGAAGAAAAGACTGACACTATTCCTTTACTCCTGGAACAAGCTGGGCTTCTTCTCGAGCTCTAGGCTAAGACTACAAGGTGTGACAGGCAACTTTCAGAAACATCTTAAAATTAACACATTTTAATGAAGAAAAAGAAAGAGCTGAGCGCTGCTCTAAGTCAGTTTGAGGCTTCTTAAGGTGCTCCATTTCAGAAATGAGATATCCATTATCACTGCTGGAAACCCCGGCTCCCAGGCTACAGCACTTCAGGCCTGAAATTTAATTTCGGTTGATATATTATCCTAAATTACTAATGTGGTTTTAGTGATCAGATTTTGGTCTGACATTCAAGGATGACAGTCTAATGCTTCTGCATCATAAAGACCAGCTCTCTGTTAGCTCTGGAGCCTGTGCCTAAGCCACTGGAGGCTCCACTTTAAGCACACACGTACCTGGAAGTCAATCCTTAGGGCACAAAGGAACAGCCCTTAGGAATGAGACAGGGCACTGATCTGGTGCCTTTCAAATCTGCCCTTAGCAGAGAGCTTGAATATGCAGGTGAAGAGCTAAGGCAGGAGGACAGAAGGCCTTGCACACGGAGCCGCCTCGTCCGCTTACCGCTGCAGGAAGACATCGTAGTAGTCCCTCTTCATGCACTTTGCTGTGATCTGCTTGTACTCCTTCAGCAGGCGGCGGATGGCGTCACTCAAAGCTCCGTACAAACAGCGTTCCCCATCAAACGTGTTTGCCTCACATTTAGCTCCTGCAAAACGATCACAGGTACATGACAGCAGGCAGAGGTAAATCTCTCTCGAGTGTCCCCAGACGGTCGCTAAACGAGTATGACTTCTGGCTGGTGACAGGTTTCCCTGTGACCCCCTACACTACTGAGCGTATTTACAAAAACTAAGCTCTCCTTACTCATGTACAACCCAAAGGTGTTCTCCCACAGCAAAATCCCCTTCTGAAGAAGCCGTGACTCACTCAAACTGACCCCGGCAATAAGTCCCTCGGCATGACTCCAGCCATGTTCTGGGAAGAAGATTCTCACTGTGCAAAGGGTACAGTCGCTTACTGGACTTTGAACAGCTCCTCCTAAACAGCATTTCTGCCTTGTACAAGGCGAGAGATGCCTCTTTAGGTTAGACTCCGCTAAAAATCTGGAGGGCACTTGCATTTTGCTATTTCGAAACTACAGAGGTGGTTGATTTAAGATGCTCTGAATGCAGTGGAGGAAATAAACCTATTGAGATCTGACTCTGCACTCTGATCCCTCTGCCAGAGCACACAACATCACCATTACCGAAGGGAATTTGGGTGCTGGGAACCAAATGGGCAGGCACTTTGCCTGGAGAGTTTTTCTTGCTTTGTTTCAGGTTAGTAAAAGCCCTTGCATTTCACCTTTAAGCCCTGTTTACAAAGCAAGGCTATCAGAAGAGAACAATAAAGTTTTACACAGACAGCTCTTCAGATGAAGTACCTCAGCATACTCCCAACAGCAATGCACCCTTGCAAAACATCAGCTGTGATTTCAGAGTCATGCTGCCTCGACTCATCCCAGAAAGCTTCCCTGTAGCAAATTCAAGCAACAAATGGCCTGCAAAAGGCACCATGAAAACACGTCCAGGGCTCCCACTGCAGCCCGAGATCACTGATCAGATGGCTGACTGTAACAGAAGTTTCCACAAGGAACAGCTAGAAGGACATACAATCCCTAAGGACCAGTCTGGAGAAAGACACTGCACCCCAACCCAGGACAGTTTTTGCTCACCATTGGCTAGAAGATAGCGTACAAGCTCCTCGTGTCCACAGAGGCAAGCGTAATACCTGACAATAACAAGAGAAAGAAAATTAGAGATACAGCAGGAAGCAGAATCCAGCGTTTGGGCACACCAGAGCAGCAGACCTCAGCACTGAGCCGTCCCTGCTCAGCTCAGAAGGCGACTCCTCACAGGAGGGAGGAATTGCTACCCAACAGCACAGAAGTCTGACCCAGACTAAGCAGGATCGGTTCCCAGCGCTCCTAGGCACTGCTGCCCTGCAAGGACATCTCAAGGTCCCAATCTGAGTTCAGCATCTTCTGCTGCACCACCCACCAGCTGCCAAATCCCTCCTCATTTTAATGGAGTTCATTTTATGGGCACTCAGCAATTCCACGGAATTCTCAAAAACACCCCTCGCTCCTCCCATCGTCCGTCTGACTGCCACACGCTGCATTAAGGGAACAGCACACACCCCAGATGTACAGCAAATACACTCCTCAAAGCCCTACTTACGAGGAGTTTTGTCTTCCCTTTCACGATCTAAGCCTTTCATGATTCTCTTTCAGAAGGACCTCAAACTGTCCCACAAACTAGGAGGATGCTGTAACGTGCACTGCAGCAGGCAAACACCTACCTTTACTTTGGGAAATTATTCCGTACTCTAAATATACTGCAATGTCCAAATGCACTTCGAAATCGGTATGTGGGGAAGTAAAAAGCTCACAGCACCCCCCTCAGCACCACCAGGGGATTCTTCACTACCTACTGCATGTTCAGAGCCTTGCCAGACAGCGATCCCACAGCCCCTTTGCGTTTCACCTACAAAGGCAGGCTAGAACGGCAGGGACTGTGAGGGGGGGAAAGGCCTCACCAGGCCAAGAACTGCTTAATCCAGGTAATTTGATCACAAAATCAACCACCCTTCTGAGCACTCCGACAGCCAGCATCAGTCAGAGGGGGAGACAAAGACTTATTTAGCACAGCACCCACAGAGAAAAGAAGCAGAAATACATAGTCAAGTCTCCCAGAAAGCAGAACCTGAGACATTTTGTAACAGTGCTCCTAGCTGCTGATGCAGAGAGCGCCAAGGAGCTCTGAAAGCCCTCCCCTCCCACGCAGCAGCACTCCAGACCGCAGGACTCACAGAGGTGTACTGTCCCATTTATCACGGACATTAATTTCCACGTCTCGCTGTTCAAGAAGGTATCTGGAAGAAAGGGGAAAACAAAGTTGTAACTTTATGCAGCTGCTCACTCAGTCACATTCTCCTCTTTAAAAAGATGCAACTTTTGAGTCTGTACAGTAACTTCCAAAGGCGCAACAAGAACCTGCATTTGACTTGGGGAGCTGTCAGCCGTGGCTGAAGGGGCATCAGTCCCACCCTCAACCCGAGGAACTGGCCTGACAGCGCGGCCTGACAGCGCCCTTCGAGTCCCGGAGGAGGATCAAACCCCCCTCCTGCCGACCCCTAACAGGGCAGCAATCACAAAAGAAGCCTGAGCAGTTCAGCAGCACCTTCACATTCCTACAACACTCACAACCTGGATGCTTACAAACACGTGGCCAAGTTTTTAACACCAAGGCTGGATTCTCATCCTGCTTGTGGCTTTTCTCACCACAGGTAACACCACCAGTGCTACTCCAGACTGCTCTTAACTCCTGCCACTTCCTCATCCTGCACGTTTGTCCTGTATCCAACGCTGGCAAGCTCCCTCTTTGGCACCTCGAGAAGACAGCTCTGCCCCGCACACGAACGTCCTACCCAGCCTGGCTCCTCCAGTCTGTCCCAAAATACCACAACCACCAGCTCTCTCAATAACATGTGAGAGTCCCTCTCTGGCCTTCACAAAGATTAAGTTGCTCTTCTCATCTGCCACATCAGCCCCCACCTTTCACTCCCTCCATCCTTCCTATCTCAAACTTCAGCTTCCTCCGGCCACATTCAAAATCTGAAGCAACTCAGCTCCTTTCTACTCCCTCGCATGGTCAGCTTGTCCCCTCTGCTTTGAGTGTCCCAGACCGATCCTTTCTCCACTATCACTTCTGTGTTGGTCATCTCAAACCTCTGCAAGGCCACCTGCAGGGCCCCTCCTTCTACAGTAAAGTTGCAATTTACTGCTTGCAGTAAATTAACCCAACCCAACCGGTAACAATGATCCGCAGACCTCGTGTATCTGCCTACTCATCCTTTGTCAGTGAGCACCTCGAAACAGAGAGGCTCCTTCTCAGTATCTGGAAGATCCACACAGGAGCTGGAAGAATCAAGTGGGAAAAAAAAAAAAAAAAAGGCAAAGAGCATTCTTAGCCTCAAACTATGAGATGCAGCAGAAGGGTCTGTTGTAAACTCCGGGCCTTTGTGTTGCAACATCCCCTCGCCCTGCAGACCACAAGCCCATCCGACTCCTGGTCTGAAACCACCGCAGCTAAGCCCGCTGCTCCAGCGCGTGAGCAGGGAGCCCGCACCCAGGGTTTAGCAGCCCGGTATTTCTCGGCCCTACTACCACAGCCTCCAGCACAAGGTGTCAAAAATATCTCCACAGCGATTACTTCCCGGAGATCCTCCTTCCGCCCGATGGCAGAGAGGGAGCCGCTGAGGAGCCTTCAGCGAGGACACCTGCCACAGGCGGCGCCCACAGCAGAGCTGCGCAGGAACCGCCGCAGGGCCAGCGGCCTGAAAGCTGAGAAACCCGGCAAACCTCAGACCCCGGACACAGCAAAGCCTCCGCGTACGCCCAATTCCTCGCGGGGAAAAAAAAAAAATCAAGGCGAGTTTTTTACTTATAAAGAAATAAAGTCTCCTTTTCACACGCCAGCCGGCTCCTGGCACCGCGGCTGCCCCGGAGAGGCCCGAGGCTGCGGGACGCCGCCGGCCCAGCGGCCGGGGAAGGCCGGGCAGAACTCCCGGTAAATACAACCCGCGGGC